TGTATTAACATTTTCAGATAAATACATTGTTTCAGACGTCTAAATATTATTAACAGCGAGAATTGAAAAATAAAAACACTATATTATATTTTTTAACCAATAGAACTGTATATTTAAATAAAAAACGCATAAAAATTTACTGATGAAAATGGTTATCTCTCCAGTAATCTAAGGCAATCTACGAGCTGTATAATAATGGTATGGTAACAAGACGAAACGAATTAATTTCGAACAAATATGTACGCGTTTACACGGAACGATAATTTGGCGACCGCCCAGGTGCGTCGGTCGGACGCGCTCTCTTATATTAACCTCCCTTCAGTCTCACTAACAACAATTTAGCTGTAGGCCGCCTTCGATGATTTTTATCGGAATCCACTATTAATAACGTTCAATTAAATCTTGATTATAATATAATTGACCACGACACCTCTCCGGCGGCGTACGGCAACCGTCCAAGTCCCTGAGTCACCACGGGATTTATCTGTATCTATGTATAATATATAAAATCAGTTTTTCGATTCATGAGGTAATTAGAAATACTGTTTAAGCTGCAATCATATGTGCCTACTTCAATCGCACACTAGCACAAACGTTCACTTCGAACTCTTGTATGTTTTAAAACACAATGTATTTTACACGTTTAAAAGTTTAAACAATTAATATAGGCATATCTATTATAGTAAAATGACTGGGTAATATTGTAACTTCGAGCAATACTGTCAGTTGTAATATCATACATCCAAAATTAAATATTTAACAATAAATAAATTTAAAAAAATGATACGTCTGTTATTTTATTGAGTCGGAAATGTAAAATATATTTTTGGGCTATATTAAATTTATTTTTTAAATTCCGCGCTGTTCAAAAATTTCTAGAGGAGTTTATATGTTGGAAAATTTAATATGGTTTTAGGGCTTCTATCATAAGTATTCCGTTGTATAGGATCGAAGTGGTTTAATGAGCTAGGTAATATTAATATACATGGTTGGCTTTGTCTTATGGTTTCTATTTAGATACTATATTTAATGCATATATTGTAATTAGTGATATAGTGTCATATTCTCAATGCAATGAGATGGACTAGTCTGAATTCAGACTTTTAAAGCTACACTTAATTGTTAAGATTCTTTTTTAAGTCATGAAGTGTTTTTAATAGGTATTTATTGACATTGAATATTATAGAAACTATAATAGTTTTTGTTATAGTAGTCCTATTTTGTATAAATTGTGAATTTAATTAAAGATAAAAAAATATTCCATAATTAATTGTTATTAAATTTAAGTAGTTTCATATGTATTCCTGTTCATGGTTTAAAATTATAGCTTTAAATTTGTGTTTTATAATAAAATGTATATTATGATAGATAAAAATAAATCCTATTGCTGTAGTTTAAATAAAATTTTCCAACACAAAATAAATAGGTAATGGCTGGTTGAATTTAATTATAAAAATAATATTTATTCCCTTACATAAAAGTTTAAATTCTCGTATCTCACTCTGTATGCGTAAGTGATCCACGAGGAATTTACAAGGCCATGTGGACTCTAATTAAAGTGCATGTTTCATTGCTCTCATTGGAGAGGTATAGACTTAAATGTGGAATTTTACTTTTTAGACACCCTTTTATTAGAATCGCAAGGTTTCTACGCATTCTGTTTTTAGACCATTCATTAATTGTAATATCCATTTAAAACTGGTTTATTATTACTTTTTTAATTTGCATGTTTTTATTAAAAAAAAAAAACATGAATATAAACTTTAAGGGCAAAACAATACAATTTAATTTAAACATTTATCAGCAAATAAAAATGTTTTGTTGATTATGAATACGTACTTCTTAAAGTTTATTACATATTATTCTTATTACGTTTATCTTAAGGGTTTTATCTCACTTTAGAATTTTAAACTTAGAGGTAAATTTAGTGAAATATTTAAAGTGTTATTAGATCATCAATAAAAGTTTTTATCTCATGCATAACGATTTAATTGAATATCAAATCGGAACTCGTTGATTTTTAATATTGTGTTATTTGTATATTATGTATCAAATCATATTCGTAAATGTGTACCTACTAAAATTGTAATAAAAAGATTATCTTTTATGAAATCATACTACAATAATAGTTATTATTACAATTTATAATATTAGAACTGTATACCTATTAATAAAATCAAACTTCTATGAATTATATTAGTAGATTAATACAAAAGTTTGAATTAAACTATTTATTTTCTCTATGTAATACTTGATAATTATATACATATTATATTTTATATTGACTTTTAACAGTAAATTATATCTTAAAAAACTGATCTATATACAATATGACCAAATTATGTTCAAACTAAACTTTACATAAAACTAAATTCTTTAATAGGCATTTAGTAAGATAATAATATATCATGTAAATAACATGTACCTCTACCTAATTATATAAAATAAATAAAAATTCATTAGCTTAAAAAAAAATAAGTTAAATATATATTTTTTAAATTAGCTAAGTATAAACTTTAAGAACTGTCCCAACAACTATTTTCTTTAATGTTGCATATCGTCGTGCATATACGAAAATAGATATATATCTCGCAGAAGTTGACAATATTAATTTTAGTCTCCAGCAGTTATGAAACGCATTAAATGGCTGTCTGACATTTTTTGTTATAATGTTTTCTATTTTTTAACGTTTTCATCTCAAATACGACGAACAACATGTTATATTCATACAATATACTTTAATACTGCAATATCCGTTGGTTTTTTAGATTTTGAAATATTTTCTTTAAATTGAATGAAGTTATTAGTAAACTCACAAATTATTTTATACTAATTCAACTGTCTGTCTAGATTATATTCACTTTAATTGGGTTTAGAAATCAAATAACATTTGACATTGCAATATTGCAAGTTTCGTACTTATATATTCATTTTACATTGATTAAATATATTGTTAATGGTCATATAATTTATATATTAAATTACAAATATTAAAATTTTAAATACCATGTTGCGACTATTTTAGAATGATTTAGTTTTTGTACCTACCTATTATAATACTATTTTTAATATTTTATTCTTGAAAGTTAAAAGTCTTTATGATTGAAGTATTGTAGTAAGGTATAATATTTGTACATCATTAATATTTTATTTTACTATCTAGTCATTTAAATTCATATCGATATTTAAATATTTTAAAAACAATTTAACTTTATAAGACACTTAATATATTTTATATTTAATAAAAATTAATATTATTGAATATTACTGTTTCTATACAAAAGTTTATTGCAAATTAAAAGAAAAAAATCTCATCTATTATTTTATATAATTTATTATAGTTATAGTTTATAATTTTAAAATTTTAATTATTTACCTACAATGAGTAAAATGCTTACTATATCTAATAAAATATTAGAGACTTAGTATACATATTTTTATAAAAATAATTAGTTTAATATGACATAATATATTACATTTTTAAGACAGTATTTAGTTTTTAATATTATATTTGAACGCATGAACTATAATTTTTGTGAATACTTAGTAATAGTTTTTGACTTTAATTAAAATTATCTTTTGTATACCGTTTAAATAAATACATTTTAAGAACATTCAAAAATTTTCAAAATTGAACACTAACGTTAAACAAATAGTTTATAAGTACGTATACGGTTCGTTTGTAAAGCCAGACGCAACTTAATGAGTCGGCACAGTAATTTCATTAAAATTTAATATTTTATACTATAGTTTCTTTAAAAACTTTGAAAGGAAAGTCTTAATTGAAAAAATTTACGGCAATTTAGGTATATTTATTTTGTAAATAATTTAATTTACTTGGTATATGAATGTGCATGTTAAATAATTCAAAGAAATAATATGTATATTATGGTTTTATTTTATGTAAGTTAAAATAGTTTAAGCAAATCACCCACAAATTATTTAATTTAATGTACATAATATATTTGATAAATAACGATTAATTATTATACTTGTATGTAAATACAATAGACAGTTACTATAATGGCTTAAAGACTCAAATGTTTTTAATAGAATTTTTTATTTATTGAATATTTATAAATTCTTACCAAAGCTAAAAATCAATTAATATTTAAAATAGATTAGTATTAGGTATATGTATTGTTTAATACATTTTTGGTTGGAAAACGATTGTTAACTAAAAACATATAACATAAATTATCATCAATTGTTGTCAACTATGAGCGTATCTAAGTATATGTACCTAATTATAACCTAAAATAAATGTTTGGCTTGTATTTTATTAAAAATAAATATTTATACAACAAATTAAAATTTTAAAAGATAAAAATTAATACCAACACCTCAAAATTGTATTATACTTATGGAAAATAAAATTATAAATATTACTTACTCATTATTCTTTCAGAATTTTTTTTCCATATAATAGACGTTGCGTTAGCTTTTTCAAATAAAGCACGATTTAATGTAAATATTTTATATATGAAATGGAATCTAACTATTGCAATGATTAAAATAAATTAAATAAATAAAAAAATAATTAATTAATATAAAAATAATTTTTTATAGTAATAATAAAATGCTTTAATTCAGTAGATGAACACAATTTTTACTTTATAATATAAAATCAGAATCAATTATTTAAAAGTAATAAAATAAATATTTGGTTGTGATAAGAGTAGCATATGTTTTTTTGTCTTAGACAAACGTATATAATACAACAAATTTATATTCACCGAACGTATTTTATGTTGTAGATTACTTTTTATCGTAGTGGATAATCTATGTATGATAAAATTTAATGGCAAGAATATTATCTGTACGTCGATTTGTTTATGATATTTCAACTTTTTCTAAATTAGTTGAACATATAAGTTTATTGCAATATTAAAATAATCTTGATTCATTTAATAATGCAAATATCGTAAAAAAAAACTTTTAAGTAAGAACAATGTTTTTAAGTTTTATAATAAGTCAATTCGCATTAATAATGAAATTACAACTCTCAATTATTAGTGCAGTAGGCAAATTTGATACACATACGTGGGTGTTGGTAAGTGAAATCGTTTTCTAGATATATGTTATAATAAATCTTAAACAATTAATATTAAACATAATAATATACCTATATAATTTATCACTATATGATGCATATTAAAATAGTTTTGAAACTCAACTAATATAGAGCAAATACACTAATACCAATACATTAATAATAAATCAATATGTAGGTTGTATGACTAATAGTTTGTTAATTTGATAAGTTTAATATGATAGGTTAGTATAGTTCGTTATCAATGTTATCATATATGAAAGAATATTGCCTTTTAAGAAAATTATAGTAAAAAAAATTTATATAAATATATGTAAGTCAAAACTGTACAAAAATTATTAAACAAAAAAAAAATCATACCTTTAAAATATATACAATCCTTACTATTATGAAGTATGAATAATATATACTATACGTCCCATGTAGTATAATAATGTCCCAGACAGTAATAAGATAAAAACGCTGCAATCGGCCGATGGTTTAAAAAAAAAATATTTTTAATGTTATTACTTATTATAATTATTACTGATGTCTAGCACGAAAATCTTTCTGATTTTGGCCAAGAGTTATATCGAGTCAAAAGAAAATAATAATGCGATATGCCTATATTAAATAGAAGATGATCCTTCGCGTTTTATACAAAATACAACCTATCGTTTGAGAACCGTTTACATAATATAGGCGTATGCCGCATGTATATAGTTGTATCAGTTATAAGATAATATAACTCGGAGACGTACATAATGAAATGGTTATAGATAAGTATACAAAATAATAACTGAGTATGTAATAAATTAAAACGAAAACGGGATAGGTCAATTTTATTATGTGCATTGCCCATAGAAAGTAAAACCGACTTTTGGATTGATGGGACGCGTGTTATAGGTTGTAGGATATAGAAGAATAACGGCGCCATTCTAAAGCGCCAAGTCGCGGTCATGGCGTGCGTGGTTCAAGTGCGGCATGTGTGGTAGTCGATGGTAATAGCGTTGGTGGTGGGAGCGGTGTTGTTGTGTTGGAAGTGGTAGTGGTGACTGACGATAGGCGGATAACAAGGATTTCGCATAAGAAAAACAGGGAGGGAAAGAAACCGAAAGTATACCATAAGAAAAAAGGTAATGCACGAAAGAAAAAATAAAAAACGTTATTAATTATTATAAATAATAATTTAACATAGGTAGGTAATATGATTTGAAATGAAATCCCTTCGTCGTCCATCGTTTATGACGGATTGCGCGGCAGTGGTGACGAACAGATGAGCGAAATGCCGGCGGTGGCGGTCGGCGGTCCTTCTAAAAATGGACCCTGCCCGGCGGCCCCGGCGGCATATCCACAGCGGATGACCGCCATTTGACCAATCATGGAGTTTGTGACGGGCACCGGGATCGCGTTGCAGACGGCCGCCCGCAGACCGAAATAGAAAAAAATAATAAAACATAGCCGCCGCGGAAACTGTTCCTTGGACCCGTGGAGGGGGTGCACGTCCGCCGTGGTGGGGAGACTAGGGTTTTTCACGTGCTGAAACTCCGGGACAATCCCATTCATTCTACGTCTCAACCGCCGAGTAGGTACTATCTAATATAATAATAATATCTTACGCATCTCGGACACTATTCGCTTATTGTTGTGTAGATAACACTATAATATAATATTATAATATCATATATACATATATATATGTACAAATTTAATATAATAATTACACTACTGGCAGTGTGCTTTTAGAGTTCGTAAATATTTATACATACATATATATTTATATATATTATAATATTGTATTATAATTTAACCGCTGAAAATAATTTTACATTAATATTTTATTATAGTATAATTATTATATCTTTATTTTATATAGTGCTCTGTTGTTGAGTAGTATATATTTCAACGAAGTGTGTGTTTTTCTTTTCTTGTGAAAGTCGTGATCTTACTTTTTTTTTTTTTTTTTTGATTATTTTTTTTTTTTTTAGTGCTACGACGTAATACGTATTAATTTGTCGCAAATCGAATTCGCCGCGTCGGTGATCATACATAAATAAATTATACATAGTGTCGACGGCTGTTTTTGTGCGCAGATTTTGTTTTGTTTTGTTTGCCGTCTTAACCAAACGCGGCAGTGTTCGTCAAATAACCAACGGACATCGACCTCTCTGGTATAATTTAAACATTTTTTTAAACCATTTATTCGTTTGCGATCAATCCGTCCTGACCGTATTCCATTTAGACCTTGGTGATATCCACATGTATCGTATATAATATATACCGGCACCTGCTTACCAGTCTACTCATCTGTTTACCCGTCTGCGTCATCGTGAGATCAACCGGAATAGGTTTACCATAACCACTTAAGATCTTCAAGAAAATCGTTTGAAGTTTTTTGCCGGCTCGAGCTGGTCTAATAATAGATTTATTTTTGTTGTTTTCTCTTCCTCCGCGAAATGTAGGCCGTCGCGTGTCGTATTTCATATATACGCCCAAGAATTCTGGACATCCGCCAATAGTTAATTATTTATAATATTTTACGATCTCAACATTCTGAGCATCGAAATTGACACATTTGCCATAATTGGTACGCGCAGAATTCGTTCAACGTGTCAGACGTAGTACTGTTTTCGGGACATAAAAATATCTACTACAACTTAAACTTACCGATTTAAATTGTTGATCGTTTACAGTCAATAACTAATTGTGCTTTAAACTCTTTTATAATAATTTTATCATCTCTCGAGTATCGTAGAATCGCTGCAACATATAAACGATAGCTGCACTGTAGGGCCGTCGTCGTAAAAGTTCAAATACATTTGAATGAGTCGTTTAACGGGTACATCCTTCTGTGCATATAAAATTCTTTGAGTGCATATTATTTATGCATTCGAATATTGTTATGATCTATTTGTGTGATTGAGATTACTAAGAACTATTAAACGCTTCTCGCTGATTGTTAAACACCAATATCGTACATTAACATTCATTTCCGTTCGATCTATTTCGGTCTGTATAGTGTCCACCCGGGTCTGCATTATTTGGCTCTGGCTCCCAAGTTTCTAATAATATACACGCCAAGTATAGCTCCAGGCACCTCAAATATGCAATAAAAAGCTTTTTGATTTAAAAAAAAAAAAAACGTGTCACCTAACATCGTTTGTGTCTGTTGTGTGTGTGTTATTTATACTGTAGATCCATCACTGCGAACTTATTAATGTCGAGTTTGAGTTTGCTGAAACTTATTTTACGAACCGTTGAATAATCAATGAACGGTTATGCCGTTTGATTTTTGCTCGACAATTTTTTTGTTTAACTTTTTAATCATTTAAATTTTAAACATTTTTATTTTTTGCAATTTAAACATCAGCATTACTTAACTTGCATTAACGAACATCAGTAAAACCTATATATATACACACACACAGTTATCTATACCAAATTACCAGCATATTTAATTTATCGCGAATTATTTTTTTAGGTGTGTCGCAAATAACACCATAAATAAAAGAGGTGTGTGACGACGTGCAACAATCCGTTTCTTTGATTTTTCTCTTTAAACTACAAAAATGCCGCGTGTAGTTAAACAAGAGGGTGATGACCCAGATCCAACCCCATACTTATTCGTATCTCTCGAACAGAAGAGAATCGATCAGACCAAACCTTACGATGCGAAAAAGGCTTGCTGGGTGCCCGATGAAGAACAAGGTTTCCTCCAGGGAGAAATCCGAGGAACCAAGGGCGACTTGGTCACCGTTGCTTTGCCTAATGGAGAAGTAAGTCACTAAATAACGTTTTAAGTAAATTTTAAAATATTGTATAATTCATCGGATATTTCGATGTGATGTTTAACAATTTTTTTTAAATTCAATGATAGAGTTTAATACAAATTTCAGGATATATTTTGTTCATTTAATAAACAATAAATATTAACTATCCTTTTAATAATATTTTAAGTGAAATTTCGATAACATGAACATTTTTATAATTTTTATATGTAGGTAAATATAAAAGTGTTGTATAAAATAAATAACATATTTATACAGTCAGTAGCGATAAATAAATAATATTTCAGCGAAGTAGATATAATTTATTTTTAAATTTTCTGACTGATGAATTGGAAAGATAAATTCAAGATGACATTAAATATTTAAAATACTTTATGGAATAATGAGAGGTAATAATATTCAACTGAAATAATTTTGACTATTAATTGTTTAAATATGTTTGTATTATTGATCATAATTTTTATTTATTTTATAATAAAAATGAACGATTACGATTATTTTTTCTTTGCAATTTTATTTTCGATATAAATTATAAGGGGTTTTTTAAAAATTAAAATTAACTTTAGATAACATTTTTATAGTTTATACGTATCCGGATATAATATAAATAATTTGATTTTAGGTATAATCAAATCTTACTGATAACGGAAATTATAAATAATATTATAAAAGATTCATTTTTATAAAAATAATATTAATCAGTATAGGTAATCATCGTTTTTAATTTGGTATTCTATAATGCATTAATGAAAATTAAAATCAGTGAAAACAATACTTAGTTTACCAGATTATAGAGGACGAAAGTAAAAAGCAGATAAGTTTTTAATGGTTATATAAAATATGTTGCATTTCAATGTTACCCACTGTCTTTTGGATCGCATAGGAAAAATCGTTCAAAAAAGATAATGTGTATCCGGTGAACCCGCCGAAATTCGAGAAAGCCGAAGATATGGCTGATCTAACTTACCTGAATGATGCCAGTGTGTTGCACAACTTGAGGCAGCGATACTATTGCAAATTGATTTACGTAAGTACTAATTCCAGTTTTACTAATATACATTTTCTATGGTATATCAGGTAAAAGATTTCAAAAAGGATCAAGTGGGCCAAGTGAACCCACCGAAATATGAAAAATGCGAGGATATGTCAAACTTGACATATTTGAACGATGCGTCTGTATTGTATAATTTGAAAGAAAGATATTACCATAAGCTCATTTACGTAAGTGTTGGGATAACCAATGAAAGAGTCTACGTGTACCACGCTTTTGGATTTTGAAACCCGTTTGGAACATCCTATGTAATCTAATTCCTGAAATAACCTTCGTAAAACACAAACATATAATTATTATGACATTAGTTTTCATATTTTGTTTTAATCATCCAACTTTCTATCATTTTGTTCATAAATACATTATTTGTCAATCCCTGATTTCATATTCTTGAAACAGTGAAACTGTATATTCCTTTTTATTACGCGACTATTTCATTATTTCTTTTTAAATTTAAATTAAATATTTGTTTGTTTGTTTAATAATAATAATAATCAAAAAATATATTTATAGTTAATGATTAATTATATGATTTCATATTAATAATAAAATATCCAAATCAACGTAAAACATTATTTTAAAATTTATTTAATTTCCATACTCGTTAAAATATATAATTTTTAAGAGACATAAATATTTCATTTATACAGTAAAACCCAATTACCTACCTATCCTGTGTGTTCGTTATTTTGCTATTACTGTCGGCCGTAATATGACATTGGATCGACAGTTCTAGGTGAACCCTGTTCAAGAGAACAACACCTATTGGCTTCACACATAGAATAAAATATGTTTGTTTTAGTAGTTTCTTAGATGTGTAAAAATCATAGTAGTAGATTGTTTTGAATGAAATTAGATTAGATTAGATTTTTTTTGTACAATGTATATTTTTTTATTTTTACAAGAGACACTTAACAAATAATTTCATGATTAATGAAATTATGTAAATAATTTTTTTGATTAAAAAATCATATAGATTAAATTGCATATTTATGCAAATAACGATTATATTTAAAAAAAATCAATACTTACATAAAATCAATATAAGTGTCTATTGTAATGTTAATAGTATTTTTATTTTTTGATTAATTTTGCAAAAATTCATGATATGTTTAGACCTACTCTGGATTGTTCTGCGTTGCTATCAATCCTTACAAACGATTCCCCGTGTACACCAACCGTTGCGCCAAATTGTACAGAGGCAAGAGGAGGAATGAAGTTCCACCCCACATTTTTGCCATTTCTGACGGCGCTTATGTTAACATGCTTACAAGTTAGTTTATGCAATTACATATTGGATTTAAGATGAACTTATTTTATTAATTCAAATTCAAATTTAAAGTATTTTTATATTTTTAAATACTACGCGAATATGATTTTAGTAGAATATCAAGTATGTCATAAAATACATTGTTAATAAATGTAATCATTTTTGTAAAAATGTATTTCTTAACGAAAGCTTTTTTTAATTTTTTTTTTCAGACAAAGAAAATCAATCTATGTTGATCACGTAAGATATTATTTTAGTTTATTATCGAAAATCTCATTATATTTATATTTTTAATTTTATTATTCAGAGGAGAATCTGGAGCTGGAAAAACTGAAAACACGAAGAAGGTAATTGCTTACTTTGCCACTGTTGGAGCTAGCACCAAGAAAGAAGAAGAAGCCGCTGGTGGTGTCAAGAAGAAGGTGATTATTAAAGAATACTTACAACAATTATTACTGAACCTACTTTAATAAATAATTTTTTAATTTAATAGGGTTCCTTGGAAGATCAAGTTGTACAAACTAACCCGGTATTGGAAGCCTTTGGTAACGCTAAGACCGTCCGTAATGACAACTCATCTCGTTTCGTAAGTTTATAACCGTCTATAATACGAATATTTTATCGAAATAATACGATGTTCTTATATTTTGTGGTGGTGTTTAGGGTAAATTTATCCGTATTCATTTCGGTCCTTCTGGAAAATTGGCCGGAGCTGATATCGAAACTTGTAAGTAAATTTCAATATAAATACTTTATCTACAATAAAAAAAGATGTACCTCGTGTTCATAAGTATCGCTTAAAATAAAATAAAATAATTTAAACTAATCTATAATTTTCAAATACTACAGATCTATTGGAAAAAGCTCGTGTCATCTCTCAGCAAGCACTTGAAAGATCTTACCACATTTTCTACCAAATCATGTCTGGATCCGTGAAAGGCGTTAAAGGTAATATATATATATAATATAATAATAAACATATTTTTTAATTCTTTAAAATGATACATTTAATTGTTTAAAAATTGTATTAATGCTCTCATACACAGTAAAGGGAACGGTTGTTATAAGTCATAGGGAGGTAATATAGATAATAAAATTATATGGTAAAATCATTGCGTTAAAACGTTGGCGAATGAAATCGTAGTCTATTCGATCAATACTAACTACCACTTTTGAATCCAAATAACACTGATTGGTTGTTGAACACAGACATGTGCATGCTGAGTGAAGACATCCACGATTATTACTACGTGTCACAGGGAAAAACTACTATCCCCGGTATGGATGACGGAGAAGAATTCCAACTGACCGACGTAAGAACCTTCAAATCGGTCTTATCCTTACTACTCTTTCTTGAACAATTTTTCCTTATTCCATACACTATTTATGTATTCTCCTTGTTACTGATATTCGTCGAAATGCTGGGCGTCTTAGCAAACGTAGATGACGTAGTATAGATGCATTTTTTTTTTTTTATATGTATAGAAAATCTACGAGTGTATACAATAATGTAAATAAACTAGCCGTACATTACAAAACTAGTACAGGCGTAATGTACATACGATATGACTGTAAAATATATCCCTAACTGTATTATCATACGTGATATCATAATATGTACATTGACGATCCACGTAGTCACAAACCGACAAATGTGTGATTTTTATTTTGATATAAATGTATAGTATATAAAACAGATCAACCGATTTCATGACATTAACTGTAGTCGTGTAAATATATTTTTTTTTTATTTTTAACATTAAAAAACATCGAATCGTAGTGTATATGATTATAATGAGTATTAACCTTTTTTTAAATTTTTTAACTTATACTGTATAAATGATTTTAAAATTTTTCTCATACATTTTTTTTATTGTTTTCTCATCGTATTTTAACTTAATGCTATCATACCACTTATTAAATTTCTACGAAAAAATCCTATACACTACTGATTGCGAATATGGGAGATTTTTTTGGTTTTTGAACAATATCTTAATTTAATATTAAGCTATTTTCACAACAGAATATTTATTCCGAAAATTGCATATTTTAATTTTAATTTTTAATCGATCTAATGATCTTAAAAATTAAATAAAAATACTTATTGCGAAAGTTACTTTTAATAGTTCTTCTCGCGTTGCATTTCTGGAATATTTAATTCTTTGTGTATTGAAAATAGTTTTGATTTAAACCCGAACGTATTTAGTAAATGCGATGTATGCGATTATCTCATATATCAACTTTACTTGTTAAACCCAATGCATGACAAATGGGGTTTGTTTTTTTAACCAGAAATGTGTCTCCTGTCCAACAATATAAACGATTACCATTTCGTCAGCCAAGGAAAGACTAGTATACCTGGTGTAGATGACGGAGAAGAGTTCAGAATTACTGATGTAAGTCTTTTCCTGATTATTCCTATTTTCGTTTTCAAGTATGCTCATTTCAAATTCTAATAACCTTTTAAGTAAATAAAAAAAAAAAAAATCTCAATACTTATAACCAAAACAAAACTATAAGGAATAAAATAATAAATGAGCATTCTAAACGAATATCCTTTTGAATCTATCCTACCGTCTATGTGTAATCTTTGAATACCAAGCGGCTTGAATGTTTTGGCTAAACTCTGTTGTGATTATCAGCAATGTACTTAATAATATGTATTAAAACTCAAGTCAATCGCAAAACTTATATGCAACTTGAAATATCTTCACAATATATACTAGCATATCATTTTTTTTTATTTTTTTTTTTTTGTTTTGGACATGTATGATTTTGTGTAATAACTGTTTTATTATGCACTTTGCACGCAGAAATGACTTATTTGAGTAATCGAATCTCAGACTACCATTACATTAGCCAAGGTAAAACTCGAATACCTGGAGTAAATGATGGTGAAGAGTTTCAAATAACTGATGTAAGTGCAACTTCACGGGTGCTTCGTAATCTTATTCTTTGCTTTAAATACATCATACATTGATATACATTCATATGCTATTAGGCATATCTTACAAGCCAATAAAACGCGATCTATAGGTTTTTAAAGGGGAAAAAATTGTTTATCATTTAAAACCATACATTATGAATAAAAAAAGGTATTCATTTCATATTTTGGTTGCATATTATGTCTATTTTTACTGATATTGTTTTATTTTATTAGATATTTGTATGACTGAATATTTTATCGTCATATGCTTTATTGTATTGTCCAAAATTTATGTTATTGTGTATGTTAGCACGCATATAATAGCACCATGCAAAACTCTATATGAAATAATGTTTGTTGTAAATAACAAATATTGTCTCGAAACAAATAAAAAAATAATAATATTTAAAACAAACATTATTTTAGTAGTTTATGTTGATTTTTGATTTTATATTATATTTTATTATAATATAGAAATATGTATATTGTGTATAAATAAAATTGTCTTCGTATTAAATATAATTAAACATTACATGCTTAACTGAAATCGCTTGCTTTGGCAGAAATGTGTATGTTATCTAACGACATCTATGATTACGTCAATGTATCTCAAGGAAAAATCACCATTCCCGGAATGGACGATGGAGAGGAATTTCAACTTACCGATGTGAGTCTCATGCCTTAGTAGTTATAAATGTTATAAAATATTTTGTATACAAATTTAAAAATTTTAATAATTAATGAAATTTCTTCATTTTCGACCAACTGAAAATCAATTAAATAAATATTTCGTTATATTTGGGGAGCTTTTTCTGCTTAGCTTATTTAACACATACATTAAATTCTTTATTATTATAGTAAATTTGTTATTTATATTATTATATTTTATTTCATCTTCAAATAGATTGTATAATATTATGAAAATATGTATACGTTCCTCACTTTTATTTTGCATTTTGATTGAGTGAGGGTAAGTTTACATCAAATATATTTTTTATTTAGCTTTATTATAAGCTTTTGTGTTTCCTTGCTTAGGTCTTTATATTTTGCTTCTTGTACAAACTTGTCGACTTGGACTAAAATTTGCTTTTTGACTCAAGTCTAAGACAACCTTCAATTTTTCCTTTATTCTAAATAAATTCCTTTTTGATTATTTTTTATTTTTATTTTTTTAAATTAAAAAAAAAAAAAAAATAGTAAAATTTCGTTAAACGTATTTTATTTTTAAATCACGTTAACATTTTTTAATTTTTTCAATTATTTCAATTAAAGTGAAATACACTAATTTAAATTTTAAATTAAATGTTCTCTACTAATTTCGCATAACTTTATTTATAAAATAATAGCAAGCTTTTGATGTCCTTGGATTCACTGAAGAAGAAAAGAATGACATTTATAAGATTACCGCCGCTGTTATGCACATGGGAGGCATGAAATTCAAACAACGTGGTCGCGAGGAACAAGCTGAAGCCGACGGCACTGAAGTATTTATGTCAAATGTATTTTTTAACTACATATTTATAAAATACATATTTTGTTTCTGATTATAGGAAGGTGCACGTGTCGCAAAATTATTGGGTGTCGACTGCGATGATTTGTATAAAAATTTATTGAAACCTAGAATCAAAGTAGGAAATGAATTTGTTACACAAGGTCGTAATAAGGATCAAGTAAGTTTATTTTTTTTTTTTTTTTAGTATCTTTGTTAAATATTTAAATTATGTATTGATACTTATTAATCCTGTGATATTATTTTGTATTGCCAAAATATATGCTAATCGTATATTGTTACGTTGTTATAGGTCGCATACTCTGTAGGTGCTATGTCCAAGGGTATGTTTGACAGACTTTTCAAATTTTTAGTGAAAAAATGTAATGAAACTTTGGACACACAACAAAAACGTCAACATTTCATTGGTGTATTGGATATTGCTGGTTTTGAAATTTTCGACGTGAGTATAATCATACTTATACTTTATTACAATTAAAAATACAATAATCAAAAGGTACAGTTGTATTATAAATTGTAATAAAGTATATACAATTTTATATTATTAAAGTAAATTATTCATCTTTCATTTACTATTTTACTTAATTATGAACGAAATTGTTATGTAGATAACATTTTTCGGAACATAATTTTTTTTCAATATTCCATTTATTTTTATAATATATCTGAATAAGTTTATCTATAGTTAAAAATATATTTTTTACCATAATTTTAATATTTTAGGATTGCTTGATTTACTTTTGTTCTTACTATACCCATGAATAAATAGTTTTTAGTGAAATTTAAAAAAAAAAACATGGTTTTTGTTCAATTTCACCTACGGTTATTGATTGTGATTAGTTAATATTTTGTATAATATTTTAAATTCTGAATTTAATAAACACAGTACAATGGTTTCGAACAATTGTGTATTAACTTCACCAATGAAAGACTTCAACAATTTTTCAACCATCACATGTTTGTGTTGGAACAAGAAGAATACAAAAAAGAGGGTATCAATTGGGCTTTCATTGATTTCGGAATGGATTTATTAGCTTGTATCGACTTGATCGAAAAGGTACTTCGATATAATCGGATAGCATGACGTATATGTGTATTTTTGTTTGATTTCCAATCCTCGATTGAGTCCCCAGAATTTTAGTTATGTGTTACACTTCAATTTACAACGAGAGAATATTTCGAGAAACATCGGTAAGAATATTTTATTTATGGTAGATATTATTATTCTGAACCATATCTATAATTGCCTTATAGCTAACTGTTAATAATATTATTACCCTTTACATATTTTGTAGCAACATATTATTATTTACCGATTAATGATGTATCCCTCTAATAATAATACTGACTAAACCTATTATGTTCATAATATTCATAATGTTCATATAATAATACATCCCACCTATCCATCGTACTCAGACCACTTTAATATTTTATTTTACACATCACATCCATTTAACAAGTTTATTGTTTGCTACCTAATTTAAAGTACAATGGTTTCGAGCAACTTTGCATCAACTTCACCAATGAAAAATTACAACAATTTTTCAACCATCACATGTTTGTACTTGAACAAGAAGAGTACCAACGTGAGGGTATTGAATGGGCTTTTATCGATTTCGGAATGGATTTAGCCGCCTGTATTGAACTTATTGAAAAGGTAACCCGTATTGAAGCAGGCGGTTGAGTGTTAGAGTTGAGATTCTGCACAGTAATTAGATCGATCCTCCATATGACAAACGAGGAAATTGTGTAGCATAAGTATTTTAGTGGTTTTCCAAAACGTGCCATGAGAGACACGTCGAATTAGTATATAGTTAATATAGTTATTACTCATTATAGTTTTCATTTTTTTTTTTTTTTTTTTAGTTTAAATATTGTATTTTTATACTTATACCTCGTGCATGCTAACTGTATTTGCTTGTTTTTTCCTATTCGTTTGTACTATGTAGTTCAACGGGTTCGAACAGCTTTGCATTAATTTCACCAACGAAAAACTGCAACAGTTTTTCAACCATCACATGTTTGTATTAGAACAAGAAGAATACAAACGTGAAGGTATTGAATGGACATTTATTGACTTTGGAATGGATTTGCAACAATGCATTGATCTTATTGAAAAGGTTAGTATGAACAAAACTTAGAAAAAACCCTTCTATTATTTGTACCAATATAAATTAAATTAAAAACTAATCGTCAAGAAGTCAATAAACGGTTCCTATACAAAAATAAGGTCATTGAGTAGTTCAAAAACATGGCGATTTGACTCTCAACTATTGTAATCAGGTATATTTAGAAAACAGAAATGTTGATATTTAGATTTATCTTCATATAAACAAATATATTTGTAGTGTAGAATGTTTGCATGTTTTTTCTATCCAGATAATTGTACAAAACAAGACATGATACAATTTTGTTTTATTTGTGAATTTATAAAAAAAATACTTAATAATGTACTGAAACGCATTAAAATTACTTATAATAATTTATTAAATAATCAAAACAATACTATATTTTTTAATCGTACTAATAAATTTAAATTAGTTTATTTAAACAGCCGTCTATATCATCTTATTTTCAAATATAAACTATGATTTAAAAAAGTGTAACAAAGTTTTGTACAAAACGTACTATAAGATGTTAAATTACTCTTGATTATAATATCAAAATAATTTTTACTTATTTTTAATACATTTCTGCATTCAAAAATATAATAAAAAACAGTATTAATTAAAGCCTCATTTAAATGATAATAACATTTGAATTGAGATTAAACACATAATTATTCATAATTAATTTTTCACATTAATATTATAGTCTATAATATTTTAAAAAGTTTTTTCAATGCGTGTACGTTATAAACCTGTGTTTGTAAATACTTAGGTGTCTAATTTTATTAAAATTTATATAATATAGCCCATGGGTATCTTGTCAATTCTTGAAGAAGAATCTATGTTCCCCAAAGCCACGGATAAGACCTTTGAAGATAAATTGACCACCAACCATTTGGGAAAATCACCCAACTTCAGGAAACCAGCTCCTCCCAAACCAGGTTGCCAAGCTGGACACTTCGCGCTTGCCCATTACGCCGGTGTGGTAAGTTATCAAATATTAAAAATAAATTAAAATTTTTTTCTGATTTCAATACATATTTTCGTACTTAAATATTATCATGTACTTGTGTTTAGGTATCATACAACATCACTGGTTGGTTAGAAAAGAACAAGGATCCATTGAACGACACCGTTGTTGACCAATTTAAAAAGGGAACAAACAAACTTTTGGTAGAAATCTTTGCTGACCATCCAGGTCAATCTGGTGGTGCTGCTGATGCTGGTGGCAAAGGTAATATTTTTTGTAATAATCATCATACTAATTTAAATAAATATTGTGTAAATATTACATATGATAACTGTTTAATCAAATCTACAGAACACACAGACACACATACACATTTGAAATTATTTTTTTTTATATTTAAAGGTACTTTAAAGTAAAATATTAAACTAAAGGTATAGAATTATTTCAAAATCATATAAAATAATAATATGATATAATATCTTAAACCAAAATTTACCACTTGTTTTTAAGTATTATGTAAACGTATTAATTTTAATGATATGCAAATCATTTAATAATTGATGTATATTTTTTTAATACACATACAGCAATACAAATTTTTTTTTATTTATATTATACATTAATATTTAGAATCGTCGCATTAAAGAATTTCATATCAAGTAAAAATGAAATAATATCGATATTTTAATTTAATATTAACTTAATCATGATTTATGATGGATTTTATATAATGCAGGTGGTAAACGGACAAAAGGTTCGGCTTTCATGACAGTATCTACATTACACAGGGTAATTTTACCAAAGTGCTACACAAAATAGTGTTTTTTGTGAGACTATAAAACTGCTTCGCAAATATTACGTCATTACAATAATTATTTACTATATTGTTACGATATCTTCTGTCTTCTATTTGTTATGTGATATTAATACTAAACAACACTTGATATATATACACACATTTAAAAAAATCAACACTTATTATTTAAGAAAAACACAAAATCTATTATCGATAATACCTATTTATAATTTATTGTCGATTCTAAAATATTTGTGCAAATAAACAGGAGGTCGTGGAAAGAAGGGCGGTGGTTTCGCCACTGTGTCATCATCCTATAAGGTATATCATCAGTAATAATAATTAGATCGGACTTGATTTTTGTTTTTAAATCCAATGAAATGCCGATTTTGAAAAATCACTCCAACGAATTGAGTTGTTTTGATAAGGACGCAAAATAAACTCTACAAATTCGGCATATTTTTTTTTTTTTTTGTGTATTCCTCAAAGTAGAATTAGAATTAGAATTAGTTTAATGTATTTTATTTCGCCCTTTAGATCATTATAATTAGTCATAAACCAATTAGAATTAATATTTATCTAATTAGTCAATTTGCAAATACCGTTTAAACCGGATATATCTGAATGTGTTGCACGCGTATACAAATACGTACTAAAACAAAAAAAGAAATTTGTGCATAATAATATGCAAGTGTTAATAATCGTGTGTGATTGCTATTAACAATAAAATACTGCCGTATTTTGAATATATTATATTTTTAATAACAACATTTTTATTTAAGATTCTGAGCAAAGATTACCTATTTAATATAGTATGAATATCTTTCCCATAAAATGGGAGAGTATTCTAAAAACTATATGCTTATGGCTTTTCACATATTAAACATTTTAAGCAATACTAAAGGGAAATAATTTGTATGATCGTATGATTATTTCCCTGAAATAATCAAAAAACTGTTTCCCAACCGGTAACACACAACAAAATCTTGTTCGATTAATATGTTTGAGGGTATTAGTTTGCATTATTTGATCACTGTTTTAAATTTTAGAAACTTCCAAACTCATTAATAATTTATTTAAGTATCAATTTATATTTAAAGTAATATTTTATTACTATTATTTAACTGTTCAATTTTACTAAAAAATGTTCCACAGTATTAAGACATAAAATGTTTAAATAATATTGATCAGTACTATATTCATTCAATTTTCATCAAATTTTAATTCAAGCATTTGAAATTGATTAGTCTTCATAAACATATAAAATCAAGTTACGTTTAGAATTATTTTTCAAATGTAATGACAACATTAATGTTTTACATTGTATAACATTTATAACAAAATGTGTTGGTTAGCATAACGAAGGAGAATACTTAATCTTCTAACTCCACGTACACTGTCTAAATTTTATTTTATAATTGTGTGTAGGAATATCATGTTACAACAAAGATTTAAAAAAAAAATTTTAACTGTTTTTTTATGTTTTAACGTTTTTTGTACGACAATAACAAATATATTCTCGTTGTTTTTTTTTTTGTTAGTTTTTGTTTTTATGACAATTTACTATAGATATATTTATTAATATTTGTATTTGTACCATAGGAACAATTGAACAACTTGATGACAACATTGAAGAGCACTCAACCTCATTTCGTACGTTGTATTATTCCCAATGAAATGAAACAGCCTGGTAAGTTTTTTTTGTCCTCATAAATTTCATATTAAATTTAATTTTATTAAATCATTTATTTACGATATCTTGCGAAATCGTTTTTATTTATAGGTGTGATTGACTCTCACTTGGTAATGCATCAGCTGACATGTAACGGTGTACTTGAAGGTATCCGTATTTGCCGTAAAGGTTTCCCCAACAGAATGGTATATCCTGACTTCAAATTGCGGTAAGCATCAACACTTATTAATTTTTTATTTTCCAAACATAATATGCAATTATGAATTTAAAAAATATATTATTCATACACATTTATAAACAGACATATTCCTAAACAGTAAACATAAAATTAAGAAATTACCTTCTAGTACAATTTAGTACAGCCATCGTCAAAATAAATGAAATATCATACTTATATCCTATATATAAAGTTATTTATATAAACAATTACTATAATTAATTAATTTTATTTGGTAAAAAGATACATGATCTTAGCACCCGCAACTATGGCGGCTGAACCTGATCCTAAAACATCAGCAGCTAAATGTCTCCAAGAAATCCAATTAGATCCGGAAAGTTACCGTATCGGGCATACAAAGGCTAGTTATAAAAAAATATCAATATTTTCCATTAGAATATCCAAATTTAGTAATTTACATACCTTTGAGTGAACCCTTTTTGGTTTTAATAATTAGTATTGGAATGCAGCACGATCAAACCTTCCTATTATCCCACGCCATACACCTTGCAGTATGTTAAGTGTCAATGTAGTTAAATAAATGTTACAAAATGTAACAACGTAATGCGAGATAGAAATTTAACATTTAATTTTTTAAATGTTTAATTTTATTATTATTATTATTATTATTATTAATTTATATTTAAACCGATAAACAAATCAATAGATACAAGATCTTAGCTCCTGCTGCGGCGGAAAAGGAGAATGACCCAAAGAAATGCGCTGGTGTCATTTTGGAAAACGTCGGGTTGGACCCAGATAAATTCAGGCTTGGCCACACTAAGGCATGTTCAAAAAGCAAAACTAATAGGAATTTTCGTTTGCGAAATTTCTTAATTTATGCCATTTTGCTTCATTATATACAAACTTCTTGCAACTTTTTGCTGAAGGTTTTTGCTATACAACATTGGGCTCTAGGATTATTTAATGTTAAGCTGGCTGAATATAAAAAAAAAGTTGTTTATCTACTTCAATGACGCTCATCGATATTTTACTAATATTAGAATAGCCGCTGCAGCATGTGCCCACTTAGACCTTAGACTGTAGTTTATACGTAGTGCGTAGTCTAGTATAATAACATTAAAAAAATCTACGGACAAGTAGACAAATTATTACCCAATTCCTTTAGACGTTTTGTATACCAATGTATATTTATAGTGCAAACAAAAAACAAAATCATTTTGTTTTATCCTTGCTTGTTTTTTGGTTTTTTCATGTTCCACTGCTTATTTAAAAAAATACCTTGTGTATCACACCAATAAAGATACAAAATACTGTATCCGAAAGGTGTAAAAGACTCAATGTCGCCCGAAGAAGCGACAAAAACGATTTTGGAAGGAATTGAACTCGACCCAGAACAATACCGTTTGGGTAACACTAAGGTATATTTTTGGGACAATATGTTCATTTGATACCATTAAATTAATATAATTCACATTTAATTCACGCATATAATACCATCATGTGGCGTAATTTTGGTCTTTAGGTGGACAAAACATAATTTTTCGTAGTTTTCAATTTCAAGTTTATAAACCTTGTTTCAAAAATTCTAACTATCAGGTTTAATATTATTATTTTCGAGGCTATTACATTTCAAAATCGATTTATTTGAATTGACGATACGGAAATACATCAAACCTCATTAATCATATCGTTTAAATTTACAACTGGTTAATATATATTTATAATTTTCAATGAACATAATATTAAGAATTTTACTAAGCATTTTTTAAATATGTAGGATCATTAAATTTTTATGTCACAAAAATAAAATTTAAAAATTTCAATAAAACATCTATAAATATCTCGATTTTTCACTAAGATTTTAGTAGATATAAGGTTTTTATTGGGATCTATATATCTATATAGATCATAGTACTATGTTACGTTAAAATAATTGTGTGTATATAGTATCTGATATATAGAGTATTTCAAATTGTTGTCTCTTGAATATTAATATTTTATTGTGCATTGCGATGTATAATACAATTGTATAGACCGGAATTACGCCATTAAAAGGATATAATAGACTAACAGGTTAAGAAATATTTTGTAAACGTTCGTTTCATGGACTTATATGTATGTAGGTCGTGGTCAATGTCCAATATTTTTAGAACATTTCTTTTCAATTACATTTTACGTATATTTCATCATAATATTGTGAATGTCATTATTTTTAATTATTTTATTAAAATATATTAAATTTAAATTCATAAAATAAAAACGATAATCCGGGATATAATAATTATATAAACATATAATTTATTTATTAATCATGCATGTTAAATTTTGCTTTATATTATTGTTATTACTTAACATCCGCACTTGACTTTATTTTTTATTTTTAACAAATAGTTTTGTTTTGCTTTGACCAGTTGTATAATTTGTTATTATGAAAATTCAAATTCGTAGTGCATAAAATGAAGTTTATTAGTTAATTATCTTTTTTCTGATAGATACATTGATTGTTTATTTGTGCCTACGTATATATTTGTTTGAATGTAATACAACGAAGTATAAACTTAATTTCATGTTTAAAAATATCCGTTCAAAATTGTTGTTTAACTGTCATTTGTCGATATTAAAATAGAGCTCTTTTTTATACATAAATCTAACTTGATTTCCTTTGAATTTTTCATTAAATTCAATAGGTATTCTTCCGTGCTGGAGTATTAGGTCAGATGGAAGAATTACGTGATGAACGACTAAGTAAAATCATTGGATGGTTGCAATCATATATTCGTGGTTATATTGCCAGAAAACAATTCAAGAAATTACAAGACCAGAGGTTAGTAAACTTGACACGTCCAATAAAAATATGAAAATACTAACAATAAATAGTTTAAAAAAAACATTTTGCGAGTATATTTATAAATACAAGTATATATAATATATTATGCGTAATGGTCATTACATCGTCGTTATAGTATTCACGTTTTGTAAAAATACATTTAAGTTATTTATGACATAAATATATTGCTTTTTAAAAATTTCAGTATAGGCTAAAACTGAATAGAAAAATTTTTATTATAAATTCCTATTATTTCTATTTAAATTTTTATATTAAATCGTATAAGTCATAACATATCGTGTTATTGATTCTCTGAATTGTTTTATATTCAATTCATACATTTTTCTAACTAGTGATTTTATTTTTGGACAGATTGGCTCTATTGGTTATCCAGAGAAGTCTAAGGAAATACATGAAATTGAGATCGTGGCCATGGTGGAAGATGTGGTCTCGTGTTAAGCCATTACTCAATGTGGCTAATATTGAAGATGAATTGAGAGTAAGTATTTTACATATTTGTAATTTTGTAATTTTATATAAATATATGACTAATCAATATATATATTATGTATATTTTATCTCATAAATTTCTGATCTTACTGTATGAAGTTTGCGATCATATTACAGTTATTATCACCTTAACGGGATTTAAAATTTTAAATATCGCAAAAAAAGTAAAAACCTTTTTTAGGCTCTTTGAAATCAAATAATACATCATGATTTAATTTAGATATCCTTTTATATTTATAATATAATATCATGTTTAATTATTCATGGTTTAACATAATATAAATTCTTTATTAAAAATGTATATCTAATCTGTTTTCTAACCTCGAAAACATGAATCATGTAAACGTTAAAAATAATTTTTCCACAAATATTTTTTTACAAGAGTAATTAATATTAACTATTTTTATATACATGATAAATCATAGTTCTAAAAAATGTGATCATATTAATTTAAAAATAACATCAATATCAATACCATATAAAATTTCTCTCATTTGAATAGTTTATAATAATAAATGAAAAACTACCAAACCTAAAATAAAACAGATCAATTTAACAAAAAACTGACTAAGGTTTCTATTTTTAAATCCTATTTAATTTATATTGTATTTATAAAAAAAATCTTGTAACGTATACTAACATATTTTGTTTGAAAACGAATGTGTTTATAAAATCTTTGATTTAAATATAGATTTTTTTAAATTTGTATTTGTTTTAAGCATATTAATATCATTGGGATTTAATATTTTTAGTATTTATACATGTTTCAAATAAAATAAAAGCGTTCAAATAATCATTAATAATATGATACTAGAATAAAAATTGTTCTCTTATTATACTATTATTATAAATATATTAAATAGAATTTATATAAATATCACCACCCATGTTGCATCCAAATATGCACACTACATAATATAGTACCCCCACCAAATATATTCTCGCGTTACTGGTCCACCCACATAGCCGCTTTCTTCGGCACCATCGACCACTTGGTTCATTAGACACATCACTTGCCTTCTCGAGTGCTAGCCTAGCTATAACCCAGTGCCGCCATGGAGTTACTAAAAGATATGGAAAATTCTAAACAGAGATTGGAAGAAGAAGTAGACAAAGTCACCGCTGCATATGAACGTGAAGAAAAACTTCGCAAAGAACTCGAAGCCCTCAACACGAAACTGTTGGCGGAGAAGACACAACTGCTTCAATCATTGGAAGGCGAAAGAGGAAGTTCGTCCAGCATCCAAGAAAGGGCAGCTAAATTGGCGGCACAAAAGAGCGATTTGGAATCTCAACTTTCGGTGAGTGTTTTAATTATTTTAATTTTTTAACCTATTATTTTATTTCATACAAATAGAAGAAAATATATCTTACAATAATTTAAATTATTCAAAATATAGTTAATTACAATTAAATGATAAAAATTTAAAATTATTTCAACACTATACGTTGACTTTTAAACGTAGTTAATTAAATTAATTATTAAAAGCTTAAAGCAGTTATAAGGATTCGCAATTGAAATCATTTAAAATATATTGATATTTAATTATGTACTTTAATAATTCTTATTAATTATCCTTTATTTTTAAAACCATAATAAAAGTACTGAAAATATAGAAATAATACCTATCGCATAAATAGATATTTTTATACTATAATAATTACTTATTTATATTATTTAATCTTAAGTAGATATTTTAAAGTATGAAAGAATTCAAAACTTTAGAAAATAAAATTCCAAAAACCGTAAAAAAAATTATATTTATTTTTATTTAATTTTTACTTAAGTTAAAATCGGAAGTTTAAACAAGAAATTTTAATAAATAATAATGCATTTAACAGTTAACACGTTTTACGAGTAATTTAAATATTTTTTTACAAAAAATAAATTTTCTAAATTAAAGAACTAATACTTATCAACATATTTTTACAACTCGAACATGTTAAATATAATTTAATAAACGTAAAATAAAATATCTAAAAAAGAAAATACCTAACTATCATATAAGTTAATAATAATTTAAATATTAAAAGAATACTAGTGGTAATTAAAATTAAAATACATATTATTTTAACTTAAGTTTGGAATAAGCTGACATCAATTGTAATGCATTTTTACAACAATTTCCAGTTTTAAAATAACCCATTAAGATTAAAAATTTTGCAGAATATAAACTTAAAAAAAAATGTTAATATTATGTTATATATAATCATCCATGAATAGTTCCATGTGACATAAGTGGCGTGAAAGAATATACCACGAGACACGCCTGCGGTGGTCTATTTTAAAGTTTGATGAATAATCCTAGTTCCAACGCCTCCATAATAATATTACCGTAAAACATCGGATATCTTTCTCCCTCTTCCATAACATAGATTTCACGACATGTTGGAAAAATTCGCTGGCAACGAAAAGACCCATAAATCCCGTCATGGGGGTGGGGGGCACGCAATAACACGTGCCCACACGCAATGTACCTGGAAATAGATTAATATTCTACTGTATGAAAACAAAAAATGTTATTTATTGCATATTATATATTTTTAATATAATATGATATGTATATGTATATATAAATAATAAATATGCAAAATTAAGGACTTCTAAAAAGTATACAAATCATTCGACAATGTTTTTTTTTTTTTTTTTGTAGCGTTTATAATTAGGAATGTTCAATTTATATTTAAATATTATAGTATACAATTTCATATAAAAATAATAACAAACGCGACTCTATGGGTACTTTTATTTAATAGTTAATACATCTCCATTTTTAGTTTCGAACAATTTAAGTAAAAAAAATACTTACATAATATTACATTTGTTTAATGATTTTCAATGATTAAAACAAAATAATTTGGCTTACATTGGTAAAATAATAGCCCTATGAATAGCTCTATAATTACAAATAAAATAAAAATTATAGAAATATAGAAAAATATTAGTTATCCACTCTTTTGGTACATTAAATAAATATACTTGAATATGTTGTTTAAACTTATTTCAAACAGAATAATTATACAATTTATTTATTGTTTAAACTTATATGTTTTTTAAGTTATTTTAAGTTATTTTATTTTAATGTACCTTAAAAATAGTTGATATTTAACATTGCATTTCAATAATCAAAAAAGTGAAATTATCTATTTTATTAATTATCGTGGAATCTTACTTAAATTCTAAAAAGTATTTATTTTTATTTCTTTTATACAGTTATGTTATTTATTAATATTCCATAAAAAAATTAGTGTTTAAAATTTTGAGCATAATAAACTTATACGATATGTATATATATATATATATATATATATAGATGTATACTATATAGATTTTGTAATCTGATTTCATCGTTATTTTAGTAAAAATGCCAACATACCGACCTCTATAGATATGTTGAAAATATTCCCAAAATAAATGATTAAATCAAACGCGTTGACTACTGGGTTATTATAAAAACATCTGGATAACATTGGTTTATGTATAAACGGCATTCATCAAGCAAAATTATTTAAACATTTATTTCATTAACCTGTTAAATTTGAATATAATTTATACCCACGTAATTTTGACATGCACCGATGAATATTTAAACTACTAGTATTACTCGAGGTATTTTTTTATTTTAATTAGAATTGGCAGACACCCAAACGAATACCACAATTTTATTTATCTTTAAAAATTCAAGAAAAATATTATACTATTAGTCTATGCAGCATATTTTATTTTATAAAATCTTTCAAATAAATTGTTTTTATATTTTTTACACTCTGTTAAAACTTTAATTTATTTAGATAGAAGTATATATACAACATATACAATAAGCATAAAAGTAACATAAATTTAGAACTTATTCTATGACTTTTAGTTCGTATAATTCACACAAGTATTAATAATGAACACTTAGGCTTAAATGTTTGTGATTTATTATAGGAAACTCAAGAGAGGTTAACTCAAGAAGAAGATGCACGCAACCAACTGTTCCAACAGAAAAAGAAATTGGAACAAGAAAATGCTGGTCTCAAAAAAGATGTCGAAGATTTGGAACTATCTATTCAAAAATCTGATCAAGATAAGGCATCCAAGGACCACCAAATTCGTAACTTGAATGATGAAATTGCTCATCAAGACGAACTTATTAACAAATTAAACAAAGAAAAGAAATTATCTGGTGAAACCGCCCAGAAAACTGCCGAAGAATTACAGGTCAGCTTAAATTTTTTAGAATCATATCTCATTCACAATAAATATTTACATATTTTTTCAAGTAATTTATCATTATTTATTTGATTACAGGCGGCTGAAGACAAAATCAACCATCTCAACAAAGTTAAGAACAAGTTGGAACAAACTTTGGACGAGTTGGAAGATTCGTTAGAACGCGAAAAGAAATTAAGAGGTGATATTGAAAAGGGTAAGAGGAAGACTGAAGGAGACTTGAAACTTACCCAAGAAGCAGTTTCTGATTTGGAACGTAACAAAAAAGAACTTGAACAAACCATTCAAAGGAAAGACAAAGAATTGGCTTCCCTTACTGCTAAACTAGAAGATGAACAAGCTTTAGTTGGCAAACAACAAAAACAAATCAAAGAACTTCAAGTAAGTAATTTAATATATTATTTTATATTTTAAAAAGTAATACATATTATGCATAAAACATTATTTTTAAAGTTTACTTTTTAATTTACTTTACTTAATAATCATATTTCCCGTTTCAGTCAAGAATTGAAGAACTCGAAGAAGAAGTTGAAGCTGAAAGACAAGCCCGTGCTAAGGTAATAACTAATAACAATTTAAAAATGTATATACAAATCTAACATTTTACCATTTTGTCTTACGATTTAATATAAATTACGCATTTTTGCCTACTTACATGTATTTATCATATTTATAGGCTGAGAAACAACGCGCTGATCTTGCTCGTGAATTGGAAGAGCTTGGTGAACGCCTTGAAGAAGCTGGTGGTGCTACTTCCGCTCAAATTGAGTTGAACAAGAAACGTGAAGCTGAGATGAGCAAACTCCGTCGTGATTTGGAGGAAGCTAACATTCAACACGAAGCTACCTTAGCCAACTTACGCAAGAAGCACAATGATGCTGTTGCAGAAATGGGTGACCAAATCGACCAATTGAACAAACTTAAGACCAAGTAAGTTTCGTACAATTATTACTTTTAATATAATTGATAAAAAAAATTAAAAAATAATTTAAATATCAACTAATAAAACAAATTTTATATTATATATTCCTACTGATATGATTTAATTAAATATGTGGGCACTTTATATATTATTTTAACTATCTATATAATAATCGTTACGGCATATTTATTTGAAATAATTAAACTTCCAAGTACTACACTTATTAGGATTAAATAAATTAAATTATGCACGAAGTAATTGAGAAAAGTAAGTTTGTTGTTTATTTTATATAACTTATTTATTAATTGATAGATATCACACATTTTATGTAAATTATTATTGTATAAAGATTGAAAATAATGTATATTTTATCAAATTAGGGCTGAGCACCATTCACATTATCTTTCCAACGACTTAAACAACACTAGAGCTGCTGTTGATTTAATATCTAGAGAGAAGGTAGAAAAAACACTGAACTTCAGTGTTCATATATGTTGCATGATCATGTTTTACTTATACCCTCATTTGTGAATCAATGAAAACAAACTTCGAAAGCATGTTAACTTATTCCCACTGAAAATAAATTATTTGATTATTATATTAAGGTCTTCATATGATAAGATGTATACTCAATACTACAGATAAAATTATCGAATACATTACTTGATCAATTTAAAGTTATGTATCTGAAATAAATTAAAATCAAAATATAATATTTATTTTTAAATAAAACGATAGTTTAGAATTTAAATAAAAATAATATTGTATTGATTGTTAGAGCTGAAAAGGATAAATGCCAGTTCTTGTGTGAATTGAATGATACTCGTGCCAGTTTAGACCACATTTCTAACGAAAAGGTTGGTTGAAAAAATAAATGATGTATTGCTTTGGCAAAAAAAAAAAAACATCTGAATAATAATTGAAAAAAAAAAATTAAAAATTGCTTCATATTAATAATTCTATATATTTATTTTTCGCACTTAACTTGATGTACATAATAGAAGCTTCGTTTTTAAGTCTTAAAAGTCGTCATTATTAGCAGGCAAATATTATAATATTATATTATAAATAGTCAAAATAATACAATGTTTTTATCTTGAGTTACTAATATATTTTATAAACAAAAATTTAGTTAGAACTGTTTAAAATATTTACCTATGTGTCAGTTGAAATGTGCTGAGTAACATGTTTTATATGACGATGAAATAACTTAGATTTTAAGTGTGCGTTGTAAATGTATGACGGTGACTTAATTTCTAATATGTACTAATATTTGTAAGACGTGTTCAAATGATTGTTTCGTGTTTGTGTTCATTTTTTATTTTAAATAATATATGATTAGATTCTAATTTATTTTGGACTTAAAATAATAGGCCCAGACCGAAAAGATTTATAAACAAGTACAACACCAATTGAACGAAGTTCAAGGTAAACTTGATGAAACCAATCGCACATTAAACGACTTTGATGCTGCAAAGAAGAAGCTGAGCATTGAAAACTCAGACTTACTTCGTCAATTAGAAGAGGCTGAATCACAGGTTTCTCAGTTGGCCAAGATCAAAATTTCACTCACCACCCAACTCGAAGATACTAAGAGACTGGCTGATGAAGAAGGAAGGGTAAATATTTTTATACAAAACTTATTACTGTTTTATTTATGATATGAATCAATAAATATAATTTCATTTCATTTAGGAACGAGCTACTCTTTTGGGTAAATTCAGAAACTTGGAACATGATATCGATAACATTCGTGAACAATTGGAAGAAGAAGCTGAAGCAAAGGCTGATATTCAAAGACAATTGAGTAAGGCTAATGCTGAAGTTCAACTGTGGCGTACCAAATATGAATCTGAAGGTATTGCAAGGGTTGAAGAACTTGAAGAAGCCAAGTAAGTATTCTATTATTATCATAAAAAATATGTATATTTAATGCGTTTAAAACTTATGCAAAAATATCCGATTAATATTTTCACATCTAATATGTTTTAATCGCTTCTTTTTTTTCTTAGACGTAAATTGCAAGCTCGTCTTGCTGAAGCTGAGGAGACCATTGAGTCACTCAACCAAAAGGTTATTGCTTTAGAGAAAACCAAACAACGTTTGGCAACTGAAGTCGAAGACTTACAATTGGAAGTCGATAGAGCGACAGCAATTGCTAATGCTGCTGAAAAGAAGGCCAAGGCCATTGACAAGATCATTGGAGAATGGAAACTCAAGGTTGATGACTTAGCAGCTGAATTAGATGCAAGTCAGAAAGAATGCAGAAACTATTCCACTGAACTCTTCCGTCTTAAAGGAGCCTATGAAGAAGCTCAAGAACAGTTGGAAGGAGTCAGACGTGAAAATAAAAATCTAGCCGGTAAGTTTAATATTTAATACAAATGTGTAATATGTTTTAATATATAATATTAATATTATTTTGATTTAAATAGACGAAGTCAAGGATCTTCTTGACCAAATTGGTGAAGGTGGTAGAAACATTCACGAAATTGAAAAACAACGCAAACGATTGGAAGTTGAAAAAGATGAACTCCAAGCTGCATTAGAAGAAGCTGAAGCAGCATTAGAACAAGAAGAGAACAAAGTATTGAGAGCACAATTGGAACTGTCTCAAGTTAGACAAGAAATTGACAGACGTATCCAAGAGAAAGAAGAAGAATTCGAAAACACCAGGTAAAATAAAATTATTAAAATACACTAAAAGATTAATTTAAAAATGATGTACATCTCAGTAAATTCAAATTAATAGTTCATAATACTGCAATTGTATTCATTAATAGAATTAAATAATAACGTAACTATCACTTACTGATAAATTAAAGATTATTTTTTATTTTAAGTCCTAATAATACAATTTTTGAAATTTATCATGACACATGTAATTTATGTTATTTCAGGAAAAACCATCAACGTGCTTTAGACTCTATGCAAGCCAGCTTGGAAGCTGAAGCTAAAGGAAAAGCTGAAGCTCTAAGAATGAAGAAGAAGTTGGAAGCTGACATCAATGAACTTGAAATCGCTTTAGACCACGCTAACAAAGCTAATGCTGAAGCCCAAAAGAACATTAAACGGTATCAACAACAGTTGAAAGATGTACAAACTGCTCTTGAAGAAGAATCTAGAGCTAGAGAAGATGCCAGAGAACAGTTGGGCATTTCTGAAAGACGAGCAAATGCATTACAAAACGAACTGGAAGAATCCAGAACTTTATTGGAACAATCTGACCGTGGCAGGAGACAAGTTGAACAAGAGTTGGCTGATGCTCATGAACAGCTCAATGAACTTTCCGCACAAGCTACCTCCATTTCTGCTGCCAAGAGGAAACTGGAAGGAGAACTACAAACCTTACATGTAATATTATAACATTAATTGATTATTTCCATTTATTAAGTATATCAATAATGTATTTGTTTTTATGCAGTCTGACTTAGACGAGTTATTGAATGAAGCCAAGAACTCCGAAGAGAAGGCCAAGAAGGCAATGGTAGACGCTGCCAGACTTGCTGATGAACTCAGAGCCGAACAAGACCACGCACAAACCCAAGAAAAACTTAGGAAAGCTCTTGAAACGCAAATTAAGGAATTACAAGTACGTATAGATAAATTATTTGTTATTTCTAGGAATTGTTTTAATTTTTAAAAAGTAATGTCATTATTTTTAATATTTATTCAATATTTTTAGGTGAGATTAGATGAAGCTGAAAATAATGCATTGAAGGGTGGTAAGAAAGCCATTCAGAAACTCGAACAAAGGGTACGAGAATTGGAAAATGAGTTGGATGGTGAACAACGCAGACACGCAGATGCACAAAAGAACCTAAGAAAATCTGAACGTAGAATTAAGGAGCTGAGCTTCCAAGGAGACGAAGACAGAAAGAACCATGAGCGCATGCAAGACTTGGTTGACAAACTTCAACAAAAGATCAAAACATACAAGAGACAGATCGAAGAAGCCGAAGAAATTGCCGCACTCAACTTGGCTAAGTTCCGTAAGGCTCAACAAGAACTAGAAGAGGCTGAAGAAAGAGCTGACTTAGCTGAACAGGCAATTGCAAAGTTCAGAACAAAGGGTAGATCAGGTTCTACAGCACGAGGCGGAAGCCCAATTGTAAGTGTTTTTCATTTTTAATAAATTAAAGTTTATTGTATATAATAACTTATTATACATTTAAATATGGTGTTTTTATAAATGGGGCGATTTGTACACGCGTTTTATTAAATTTAATAGATGCGCTTTAAATGTTTGATGTATCGCAAAATCGAGATGATGAACATCTAACACTTTTCGAGCAGTTCTTTACTTAATTTGTTAACATAATGTAAAAAAATGTTATGTCATACATCCAAAGTGTTTTAATTGTATGATACATTGTTATCCATAAAGCGAGCTAATCAAATCATTATTATTCCAGCCTCAAAAGCCACGAAAGGTGCTACCATTGGAGTAAAATCTTGATTCTATCTATTTATTTATTTGTAAGTCGGATAGAGTAGATTTATAGTTGACGAGTCCTGTACTTGTTTAGAATGTTTTTCCACCAATTTTAGCCGCACAATCAACATGACTTGATACGGCTATACTTTAACTTGCATTTGATTATTTTATAATTCTAATCAATTAAGTGTTAAATACTCCGACTAAAAATAATTCAAATTTTTAATAATAATCCTATCTTTGCAAAATATATTTTTTTAATTCCTAACAAAACTCCCATTTAGTTATATTATCATAGACCTAATTTTGGTTTGAAATTATTTGAAAAATGAAATCTACTATCAGTAATGATTTAAATGGTTTTATTTTATTTGTTATATGCATGTAGCACGATCAATCCATTAAAAGTCATCACACAAGACCTAGACTTTTATTAATAATATATTTTGTTCACATTTATGATATACGTTCTGACAATTATGAAACATTTTTAAACGTGTTTTTGTTTGATTTGTTTCTTTTATAGGGACACAGGCCGCCCGTTAAACCACAATTCGACGGATTCGCCTTCCCACCCAGATTCGACCTCCACCCAGACGGCGACTTCTAAACAAAATTTAACTTATTTTTAATAAAACTTTAAAAAAAATGTACTACAATATTTTTATTTTTTTTTCGAAATGTATCATAAAACAACATGTACACACAAAACAGCAGCATCAACTATATTATCTACATCATCATTTGCGACACACATGCGGCCTGTCTGTATTTATTAGTGTGTAAAACAATGTTTTATTTATATGAAAACAAATTATCATAATGATAACTATGTTATTCAACAAAAATTCTTTTAATTTAAAATTAATTTTAACCCCGTTGTACAATTCAGCTTCTTTAATGTTTCCAATAAAGATATGCTAATTGTTAACTTATAATAATCATCTGTGTTTATTTTTTATTACTCCCTCTCATTATTTATTCCTCTATATGTTCCGATATTTATGTACACTTCCGTCTCAACGTAGAGTTATACGCTACACCACGTCAGTAGTAAGTAAAATACAGAATACATTGCTGATGTTGCGTTCCGTTTGGTCATCATCTTCGTCGACGTCCAAAGATATGAAATTCATGTTGTCATTTCAAAGAAACTATTAATGTTATCAAAGTAAACTTTAAAGCATTAATTAGAATTCATATAAATATATATATATATTTATGTATATAGATGTATTTATAAGAAACGATGAGTGATGTAAGAACACTAAGAACCACTCTCTGAGAATACGGTTTAAGGCTATATAGTAAGTATGGTATAATTATGTTATATGGTACTGTATAAGTTACTTTAAGCTTTGATTTATAATCAAGTATATAATATATATTTGACTGAATACCTAACAAAGCCTCGACCTATTTCTAGTTCTGGCGATCGTGTTAGTCGGAGTTTCCTAATACAACATTCAATTCACAAGCAAAATACAGTACGTATGTAAATATAGTGAACAAACGTCGTGAAAAATATTAATATATTAATTATAGATATAAAACAGATAGTACTGTTTTGTAGTTTTTGAGTATAATTCCTTGCTAATATAACATAAATAACTAAAAAAATGAAACAAATTTCTCATGTTATTATTTTTTTAATCAGCCCTTATCGACATAACTGTAATTACCATCGGCTGAAATTCGCTCGTTACCCGATAACTGTAGATAAAATAATAATTTTAAATATATTACTGTCAATATATGTGTGTGAGTGTGTGTGTGTGTGTGTGTGTGTGTGTAAAAAAGAGAGAGAGAACCAGAGAGAGTAAACCAATTGACATGAATATTTTATTACGCGTATAACGTAGAAAAAATATCTCTTCCAGTGCAATATTTAAAACTATAAAATTAGCCCATTCTTTATGATTAACCAGAATAGGAGTGATCTTGACATATATAAGTACTTTTCGAATTCGTTGGAAACTTTCCAATTTAAAAATAAAAACCAAAAATTCACAGAGTTGTCAACCAATAGTGATGAAAGTATAATACACTTATTTATTACTTGTATATATAAATAATATATTATAATAGTATGGGGAGCCTGAACTTTTTCAAGTAGTATGGATTACGACCGAGAATATATTTGTTCGATGGAGAAAAAATAAACTACATATATATGATATGTTTGGCATTAAAAAGTACAATTTATTTTCAAAAAAAAAATATTATTAAAATTGTTTATATAATATATATACATAAATCATCATTCAATTTATGAATGAAAATATAATATTAATCATCATACCTATATAATATCTTTTAACAATAAAATATTATCATTTTAATTGATAATCGATTACTACGCCAAAAAATACTTTTATGATCTTCTTTGTATTAAGTTTGGAGTACAAATAATTAACAAATTCAAGAACATTAATAAATATTATTTATAATTGTAATTGTTATTCAATTTAGTATGTACGATTCAATAGAAACAATTAATTATCGATAACTATCATCATTTGTAAGATGTTCTTACCTTAAAATTGTGTATGATTAGATTATATTGGATTATTATGAATGTAAACTTGCTATACTATGTGTTATTTGTAAGACAGAAACAACAAATACGAGGGAGGCGACTTAAACTCACCGATCGCTGGCACTAATCCTTGATAAAGTAAGGAAATCCAATTATGATCACACGGCGTTGTGGATAGGCAATTCGGGTACGCCACTGCAGGTATTAATCCATATAGGTATTTTAGGTATTTTAACCAGTCGACATAAGTATTAATACGCCAAAATAATGGTGATAAATAATACATGCTATTTATCCAACATTGTGTTCTAAAGAACAATGTATTACAAATTTTAATGGAAAAATACTTAATTGATGAGTGTTGCAATGATAATACCTATTATATTATAGTTATTATTTAATTAGATAATTTATGAGTATATGTTACATATTATATTGATATTATAAATGTATCAGGAATTTATTTTGGTCTTGGTCGTTTCAATATATATAACAAAAAAAAATGGAAACCAATAATTATTAAAATGCTTGCATTGTATGAAACATAAAAACGAGTTTAGAGTATTATGGAAGGGTTTATAATCAATTAATATTCATAACCAATGGTTGTTAACCATTCAAAACCAAGATATATTTATGTAATGACTTAAATAGTTAAATATGATTTAATATTTTGTAGAATTTAAATATTAGTATTCAAGAAAAATACATTATTTTATAATATATATATTATGTGTGTGTGTGATTCGGTCTGTTTGAATTTAGGTCGAAAAATGTTTTTAATAAAAGGCAAAAGTCAAAATGTACAACAATCAAATGGCAAAAATATTATTTTTAATGGTTTTTTTTTTTACGTCAATCATTATGTTTAAACGTGTAAAGAATAACTGATAAATAATTTATTTTTGTTTGTGAATATTCTTGTTTTAATTTTTTATCATTATCATATTATTGCCAATCATGATATTATTTTAATATAAATAAAATAAATTTTACTATAACAAATCATTGTTTGCTATTTAATAATAAAATCTCAATTATACAAATATATTATCATAAGACCAAAGATCTTGAAATATGAAAACTTGTGTGCCAATTTTTTATAAATTAAAATTGGAATCATCAATAAATATTTAAACATTTTGTTATTCCAATGGATGATGCATATCCAACCTAAATATTTATCATTCTTTTTCTATATTTTTTTATTGAATTGTATTATGTAAACTAATAAAATAAATATAGTTCATGAGAATGCTTAGAGCAAAATGTGAAGTATGCAACGATGGTAAAAATTTGCGACTGTATCGAAATTGGTTCGGAAAAAAATATACAAACTGTTTGGTGTAGTATAGTACCAATGTTGCCCAAAACATTGAGCGAGACTCCTACATTAAATAATTATAATTTAATGATTATTCGGGGAGAACATTATTTATTTATTAATAATGCAGAAGCCCATATTATTTGATTTTCATGTAATAAAAATTTAGAAGTATTACGTCAAATGAAAAATGCGTTTATTGACTGTACTTTCAAAAGTTTTCCTAAGCTTTTTTACCAACTTTTTCAATTTGTGGTGTAAAAATAACTATTATGTCCCTCTATTTTTCTTTTTACTTCCAAATAAAACTAGCGATACGTATACAAAAACTTTTCGTTAAATTCAAAATTATTTAAATCCGGATAAAATATATGTGAACTTTGAAAGAACCATTCATGTAGCGATCTCTGAAGTATGACTTTTAGGTCGATTGAAAGGTTATCGTTTTACTTGAGCCAAATCTGATGGAGGAAAATACAATAATTAGGACTTTCAAAGGTATTTAGAAATAGCGATTTCAAAATAGGTGAAACATTAAAATTGTTTTTTGGCTTATTCTATTATTGCCAGAAAAATGTAATGATTGCTATACTAATGATTTTATGTTATTTTAAAACCGATTAATGAAATGATTGAAGAATTCTTAGATTATAATATACAAAAAAATTAAATTGAATAAAAGATAGCTCATTTCCACCAACAATGTTGGATGAATGTATCAGTAGTATCGATTTCAACAACAGTCGCTTTTATTCCACAAATCTGAACATCTTTCAATTCGTCGATGTATTAAAAGATATTCAAATTGAAATACATGTAAAACTGCAAAGTACAGATAAACTACATAACCTAAAGTCTAAAAATAAGATAATATTTATAAAATAAAAATAGGAAAATATAAAAATAATGAAATTAATAGATTAGAGTTTATAAAAAATATTTTTACCTCAATAATATACTTAAGAATAAAAAGATAAATGGACAAATAAAAAATTAATAAAAGATATTATGTTTATTATTATTTATTTTATATTTTTTAATTAAAAATAAAAATTACATTTATGACAAAAACCACATTTTTAACAGCCCGGAAACCAATTCGGACGTTTCGATATTTGCAATTGACGTCCTGAAATATTTTTGCAATATAGGGTCGTATCGTCAAAAGATAGAGCATAGTATTAGGCTAGTATGAACCGTGCAGCTAGTATACACGGTTTATCACATTTTATTTTACAAAATTATAACTATGGATAAGTATGAAATATATGAAATCTACGCATACGACGTATGTTGTTGATGATGTTATAAACGGGGGTAAAAAAATTGATAATTTACATTGAACTATGTTACAGGTCCCGTAGTTAACAAGAAGAAAAAACACTTGTTGACTATCTTACACATAACGATGACGTTACTTTATGTTATTACATAAACGGAACATAATAACATCAACACTATACGTCACCGCATGATAATTTGACAACGCATACTTAGATTTTCCGTGTTATGTACAATACGCGTTAATGCAATATTATACTGTATTACGGATCAGACATTATTATTAATTTCACGTTTAAACTTTTCACAGGATGTCGTCTTGCAATGTGCTTAAACAAATTTCATTTATTGAACACTAGCCACTTGTCTACTCAGTAAAAGCTGCCGAACGGTGTAACGCAAATCGATAAAAAACCACATCACGATCGTTAAATTCAAAGTCATATTGTAACTATCAAACAGATGAATGAACTAAGACGACTTGATAAAACATCATAATATATAACGTCATGATA